TAAACACATGTGTGTGTGTGTGTGTGTGTGTGTGTGTGTGTGTGTGTGTGTGCGACAGCACTGGTGTGTGTGAGGTTCTTCAGCTCCTGTTCTGTCCTTCATTAGGAATAAAGACGTGGTGAAGTTTCTTCTGAATCAGGGCGCTGACGTCAACCTGAGAGCCAAGAACGGATACACGGCCTTCGACCTTGTCATGCTCCTGAATGACCCGGGTGAGCACGCGACTCGTGAGCTGCTAACCCTAACTAACCCTAACCCTAACCGCTGATGTTCCTTCTGTCCGCAGACACGGAGCTGGTGCGGCTGCTAGCCTCCGTCTGCATGCAGGTGGAGAAGGACAAGAGCAAACACCGAGGAAAACCAACCCTGAAGAGACGTGCGTCTCTAAATGTGCCTCCTCCACCTGATGATAAAGGTGGCCTGAAGGTAACGATCACTGTGATTGACCTCTGACCCCTAAAGCTGCGGTCTCCTTTAGAGGTCGACCGATAGTGGATTTTACCGATAGCTAGGTTGGACCACACTGGAGTATTGAGCAGGTCAACAGCTCATCAGTTTATAAGAGCATAATATAAAAACAGACCAAAAACTCTGCATGACGTTGAAGGAAACTGACTGTCTTCAGTGTCATTTTCTGTTAATTTTATTCATATGATGTTTATAAGCGCAGCACTGCTTTGTTTACAGTGGTAACTGCTGGAACCACTGTGTTTCTGAATTCAGAACCATTATATAATCATTTATTAGGCTGAAATGTGAGGTTTGTAATTTTATGAAACTTTGTTTTTGTCTAAACTGAAATGATTAGTACTGTAAAGTTGTTTAAATAATAGTGTTTACAGCAATTTTACGGTTTAGGATGTCACTGTAGACTTTGGTGTTGTTTCAAAAGAACGTTTCTACTTAAACAACATTCCGAGTTCCAATCTAATATCAGAACTTCCCAAAACTATTTTGACCGCTGAATGCTCTTTCCCGGTTGGGAGTTGGAGTTGTGATGATTGTATTTTGCTGCTGTTATTCTCCGTCTTGCTTCTTGCGTCGACAGTCCTGGTGGAATCGCATGTCCAACCGCTTCCGCAAACTCAAGCTGACGCACACGCTGAGACACGGGCTCTCCACCAATCAGCTCGCTCCGTTCCCTGACGAGGTTCCTCTGGACGCCACCATGAAAGCGGAGGAGTCGAGCGCAGCTGCAGCTGGAGCTCCGAGCGCAGACGTCTGCACCGCGTGGAGCAGCAAGAGTAAAGACTGCGGTGTGTGGATCTGCTCCAGTTCATCCAGAGCCATTTGTGTTTGATCTTAAACGTTCCTCATGTGTTTACTTAGTGCAGAATTTAGCAAAGCAACTAGTAGTAAAAATAACATTCAGTAAAGCCTTGACACTGTTTTGTTGTAGGTTTGAACGGAACAAGAAGTGGGAAAGATGACTTCCTCATCACGACGATGGTACATTTGTGTAGTTTCTGCTTTTGTCAAAAGTCTTGAAATGAGTGATTGTCTGAATCGTTATTGGTCTGTCAGCTGAGGAACGGCGCGCCGCTCGCTCGTCTGCCCAATGAGAAGCTGAAGGCCGTCATCCCGCCGTTCCTGCCGCCGTCGAACTTTGAGCCGTGGAACTCGGAGCGCTGTGGAGCGGCGAAGGAAGGCCGGAGCGGAAACATGCCGCAGAGACCCGGCAGGAGCAGCTGCGCCAACTCCGATATAGTGAGACTTCTATTTATACACTTACAGTGCTCTCTTTAATTAGAGTCTTGTTTTCTGTAGATAATCACTGCTGAGTGTGTGTGTGTTGCAGACGTCCATTAGTCGAGTGGTCAGCAGGTCCATCAAGTTTCCCAGCATCACTAAAGGCCCCTCCCCCTCCAACTCAGGTAGTTATAACTCCGCCCACTCCTCAGGTGGATCCAATGGTGTGGGAGGAGTCAACCGCCACGCCTCCGACTCCCACAACCGCTCAGGTGACTCCACCCATTCGCTGACGTCATACCCGACCAGATTAAATCACATGATCACGTGTTGAACTGAACTGATCTGAATAATAGCTGCGGTCGACTTGAAGCAGAGCTGCGCAGACCGATCGGTGAATGACATCAAAGTACTTTGTATGTTTTCTAATCGCTCTGGCGGCACTTTGATGTCATACACCGATCGGTCTGCGCAGCTCTGCTTCAAGTCGACCGCACCTAATGCCTCTATTGTCTTCTGTAGAGCTGAAATTAATTTAGTTTCAAAAGTGATGCAATTTTGGAACATTAACATTGCTATTTTCCTATTTATTTCTGTGAAGCTGCTTTGTCACTATCTGTACTGCATAAAGCGCTGTAGAAACACACTGTTTTGGTGTGTGTAGGTGGCAGTGGTGTGGACAGTGTTCTGTCTCAGATCGTGGCTCAGAGGAAGAGAGCAGCCGGTCTGTTAGACAGCAGGCCTCCGGCTGCCACTGAGATGCCCAGTCCTGTACCGACGCCGCTGCCCTCCGCGCCGGACATCAGCCTGACTGACCACAGCGACGGCCACTCCAGACGGGTGTGTATCAGTGCTGCTGGAGCCAGTGTGAGTGTGAGAAGTTCTGAACCTCTTTGTGTGTGTTTCAGAAGCTGGAGTTAAAGAAGCGTCCTCAGTCAGGAAACTCGTCCGCGTCCAAGAGCACGTCGCCCACCCTCACACCCTCTCCATCACCCACACCCAAACCACCCGCCACAGACTCGCTCTCATCTGCATCCACGCAGCCCAGGTCCAAGAGCAGCGGCGGCTCCAGCAGCGGTACCATCACGGACGAGGGTCAGACACACACACACGAACACGAACACATTCACACACATACAGTCTCTCTCTGTATTTATGCTGCTGATTATTGTTCTCATACACAGATGAATTATCAGGGATTCTGAGGAAACTTTCTCTGGAGAAATATCAGCCCATCTTTGAGGAGCAGGAGGTGTGTCTGTCATCTGTCAATCTTCTGTCTGTCTGCTTCCTCTGTTCTTATTGCAGCATGGTTTTGGTCTTTAACGCTGTGATCGAGATAGATTGAGATCTATCACACATTGAGATAGAGGCCGGTTTATTTCTCTGGTTTCCTCCATCGCCTGCCTCTCTCTTTTCTGAATTAAACCATTCAAAGGCAGATCAAGCCCGTCTCTGGTCTGTCTGATGAACAGTGATGAATGTTTTGACGCAGGTGGATATGGAGGCATTTCTGACTCTGACTGATGGAGACCTGAAAGAGCTGGGAATTAAAACAGACGGGCCGCGGCAGCAGATACTGGCAGCCATATCAGAGCTGAACGCTGGGAAAGTGAGTGTGTATGTGATCGGGCAGAAATGGAGGCTCATCTGAACTGTAAATAATGTGATGATGAACATCTTCTCATGACAGGGGAGGGAAAGACAGATTTTACAAGAAACCATCCATAACTTCCAGTCGTCGTTTGGCAGCAGTGCCAGTAACCCTCGACCGTCGGGATATCCACGCTGTGAGTGTTGCAACAAGTTACAATCACAACATCATTACAGTCACAACACTGTTACAATCACAACAGCGTTACAGTTACAACACTGTTACAATCACAACAGCGTTACAGTCACAACAGCGTTACAGTCACAACACTGTTACAATCACAACATCGTTACAGTTACAACACTGTTACAATCATAACATCGTTACAATCACAACAGCGTTACAGTTACAACACTGTTACAATCAAATCCCAACACTGTTACAATCACAACACTGTTACAATCACAACATCGTTACAATCACAACATCGTTACAATCACAACACTGTTACAATCACAACATCGTTACAATCACAACACTGTTACAATCACAACATCGTTACCATTACAGTCACAACACTGTTACAGTCACAACACTGTTACAATCACAACATCGTTACAATCACAACATCGTTACAATCACAACACTGTTACAATCACAACACTGTTACAATCACAACACTGTTACAATCACAACATCGTTACAGTCACAACACTGTTACAATCCCAACACTGTTACAATCACAACACTGTTACAATCACAACATCGTTACAATCACAACACTGTTACAGTCACAGCACTGTTACAATCACAACACTGTTACAATCACAACACTGTAACAATCACAACAGCATTACAGTCACATGACAATCTTTAGTCATTCTTGACTAGTTCTCATAGTGATGTCATTAATCCTGAGCATTAAGTTCAGTCTCCATGTCTAGAAAGCAGACGTGAAGAGAGCAACCACATACCACAGCCATATCTGGTATCTGCTTTTTCGGTGTTGTCTTAATGATCTGTGTTCAGCTCCGTCAGGCTGGAGTCGCCATCAGCTGCAGTCGTCCAGCAGACGGTAATGATGAAGATTTCTCCTGTGTGTTAGAGCAGCAGCACACGTGTCCACTCCGTTATTCAGAGGAACGGCAGGGCTGCTGAATGTGCTGATGGTGTAACGCCCTCGTCGTACATCAGGGGGCGCCGCAGCATCACGAGGCTCCGAGAGCGAGCGAGGGCAGGTCAGGCCATGAGTAGTCGTGAGATTCGGGTCATGAACGACTGAACCTTCAGGATTTCAGCTTCTTACATGAATGTACATCAATCTGCTGGGTCAGAAGAGAGTTTGAGCAGGATGAAGTTTTATAGTGTTTGTGTCTCTGATTATATGAACTGTTCCAGAATGATGAAGAAACAAGAGGATGATGGGAGAAAACGTTTATCTGCTTGTTCTAAGTACAGTGTAGGACTGTCACATATTATTATATTGTTCTATTAGTCTATAAAACTATTGTTTTATTTGTATTTATGAAGAGTGTTTAAGCACATCAATAATCAGTTTTAGTTTCAGAGTCTTCACTGTTGTGAAACTATTTCAACATCTTACAGTCAAATTAAAGATTCATCTTTAAAGATCTTAATGTTTGTGGAACATTATTAAATCCAACCTCATTCAATTCATTTAAGATCATCCGTGTTGTTTCTTTTGATATAATAATGGACCTCATGTTCTCATGAGATCCCAGATTTAGTTCATGTGTGATCACAGTCTGTATGTGAAGTGATGACGGAGAGATGCTGACATTCATACAGTGATAATGCGGTGGAAAACCGCATGAAATCTCTTGGCTCCAGACCTGCTTTTTCTGAGGACTCATGCAGTGATCTTAAATGAATGAACATGCTGATGTTTTGAAATGCACTTCTGAGATTCAGTATGTTTCCTCATGCAGGTAGAACAATAGATTCATATGTGTGGTTCCTGAAACAGATTTAATAACCTGCAGGTGAAGTAAATGAAACTGATTCACAGACCGGTTTCAGTTTTAAGCTGCTTTATTGGCATGACATATTTTACCTCTGTATTGCCCACAAAATCAGTGTAAAGGACAAAGAAATAAAATTCGGACACATCGCCGTGGCCAGACAGTCTCATCATTACAGAAGTGCAGATGTAGAGTAAAATATACAGATATTCTGTTCTGATTCTTCAGAAACGAATGAAACTCAATCCCAGAGCATGTGTTTGAATAGACTTTTGCTGTTGATTGTTCCACTTTCATTTGTTTGCAGCTTTATTTCCCACAGTCCTCTCTGTCAGGGGTCAGAGGTCAGTTTAGGGTCATGTTTCTGTGGGCAGTAAAAGGTATCAGATATACAGTATGTGGTGGGAACGGTTGCGTGCAGAGACCTGATTGTGTGTCAACAGTGAGGGATTGTGGGAGATTAAACGGGCTGATCCTGTAGAGACGGATGGGATTTATCCTCAAACAAGGAATGAGTCCTGCAGAGCATCTCACTCACTCACACACACACACACACTCACTCACTCACACACACTCTCTCACTCACACACACACACACGTCTGGTCAGCTATCCTTGTGGGGACTCTCCATAGGCGTAATGGTTTTTAACAGGTACACACTCACACACACTCACTCTCAAATTCAAATTCAAAATTGCTTTATTGGCTTGACTGTAAAAAATACAATATTGCCAAAGCTTGGAATATATCTGAAAAAACAATAACAATGAAAAGATGAAAAAAATAGAAGAACATTATAACAATTTAAACTTAAATAGTGTAACAAATTAGAACGTGTGAACATTTGAAACCACAGTTTTTAACATATAAACACACACATGCTGAGGGTCTCTCTCTCTCTCACACACACACACACACACACACACCACAGACATTTAGATGATGTATAGCCATATATATATATATTAGTCGTGCGGGCTACTTTCATATTGATTTATTGGTGATTAGAGATCAGCTCTTGCTTTGACTGTAAATGGGTTAAGAGTGATTCTTTGAATCAATCATTCATTCATTTGATTCTGTCAGTAACTGTATTTAAACTAGTGAAAATTAAATCAGTGAGAGTAGTTAATGATTGATGTCAAATTGAACGTAATGAATGCCTCCACTTTATTATTATTATTATTATTATTATTACTGAAAGAGCCTGGTGTATGCATGTGTTTCAGCGCATCTGTTGGTGAAGATGATTCCTCCTGGAGACTGTCTGTACGCTGGGAGGAAGAGGAGGAAACCCGTCCAGAAGCAGTTAAGACTCGTTATCTTACATTCACTAACAGCTCTGTGTTTCAGATCAGCAGCAGTTTAACAGAAACTCACTGAGTGACCAAGACATTTAGATGATGTATAGCCATATATATATATATTAGTCGTGCGATTTTAACTGCGAGGTTTTTCTCAGTAACTAGAAACAGCGTGACATTAATGTTGGATTAACAGGATTCATAACGGGAAAGAACAGATCAAATTAAAAGCTAGATAGAAGTTTGCTTACAAGTTAAATATCAAATGAATCCAAAGTGCTTTAGTCTTCAAGAATAAAAGTTAAAAACGTGATTTTACCACATTCAGTCCTTTATTATCGTATTTGTGCGCCGAATATTTCTGCTCATTTTCAGTCGATCAAAGTTTGGTTTGTCCTTCATTGAACTGACGAATGATTTGCGCTTCAAATCGCGAAATATAAACGAGCAGATGATTCTCCATACTTAAAATTAATAAACCTGAATAAACTTGAAATCCGATTTTTTTAACAATCTTTTATTCCGTTAAAATCTATCTGTCCATGAAAGGCATCATGAGCTTCTGAAGAGAGAGAGAGAGATCCCTCCCCTCAGTGTGTGTGTGTGTGTGTGTGTGTGTGTGTGTGGCTCAGAATCGCGTGCGAAGAGTCCGGCGTGTCATTCTGTGGAATCCGCCACCTGAAACACACTATATAACAGCAAACACACACACACACACACACACACACACTCACACACACTCGAGTCTCTGCTGCAGCTCATTCTGCGCTCGATCATCACACAGCAGGTAGGCTACTTTCATATTGATTTATTGGTGATTAGAGATCAGCTCTTGCTTTGACTGTAAATGGGTTAAGAGTGATTCTTTGAATCAATCATTCATTCATTTGATTCTGTCAGTAACTCTATTTAAACTAGTGAAAATTAAATC